CCCCCCCCCTCCGGTCCCATTACCCCTCACACAGGTCTGCCGCCTACGTGCACACGGTGTTCCCGCACATCCAGCAAAGAGTGCAGCTAAGGCAGCAGCCACCTGTTTGCCTCTCACATCTCACATTCACACTGTGGATAAACGTGTGTGACATCACACCGGTCTTGACCTAATTGTGTTGATGGGCTCATAAGTCTGTCAGAGAGCCCGAAGACACCAGAGAGGCGAAGAGAAAGAGAGGGAAAGATGCACGGTCGAGGTCTCTCTTTCTACAGTTTCCACGACAACGGAAAGTACGGTGGAAGAGAGGGAGAGAGAGAAGGAAGGAGACCGAGTGCGAGCAGAGACCTAGGAGCACAATTAACAGATAAATACAAATAAAAGCCGAGACTGCAGCGCTCGTTTGCTGTGACGGGGGAGAGGAGACACTGCTTGAGGCTGCCTTTTAGATAGATCACAGTCAAGGGAAGAAGATTAATTAAGATTAAAAAAGAGCAAATTAGGCCCACGCGGAGGAGAACGGTGAGCCCCCCTCATAAGAAATGCGCCACATGTTTTTAGTCTTATTCTTCACCCTAACCTACACCACCTGTGCTCTTTCCTTTCATTCAGACCCCAGTCCCATCCACCTTACCCGCAGTCATGGCCGTGCCCCAAACGTGAGCTTCTAAAGGCCGAAATGCTCTTAATCTTCCAGTGCCCACTTCACGGAAGCACTGAGAGGACTAGTGCTTCCAGTGGTGGAATGTAACGTGGTACAGTCACGTACAGTGTTAATGTGAGTTACATGTATTTATATGTTAGTCTGTTTACATCATTAATTTAAAGCTTTAGTTACTTTATTATCTGTGGTATTTTAAAACTCTAATAGAAATCTACTGATACCTGAGGCTGTATTGTTAGAGAAAAGGCTGTCTCGCAGTATAAATGTAAGGTAAGAAGTGCGCATGGGCTTTAAGTGGTCCAAAAACTTTAGACCGTAAACGTCCTTATCACCAGTGTCTGTGGATCTGTTTTTTCTTCCATGCATTTCTGATCCACAGCCACGACTTAAACCGCAACCTTGATCTGACACGCGCGACGTGCCCAATGCAAGCTTGAAAGCAAAACGCATTTGTGAGTGTCTGTGCAATGTCGCTCAAACCAACCGTGCGGGTTTAAAGGCCAGCAAAGCTGATCAACAAACATCTCAGCGTGCGGGGCTCGCCGAGCGGCTTTCCGGTGATTCGTTGCTGTCATGTGTATGTCAAATGCAAAACAGTGAGGGTGCACAGCTTTCCACGCAGGCTCAAATGACCGTCTGCAACTCAGTTGAAAACTACACAGAACACACGCACGTGCGCATCTTCCACTCCTCTGAACAATACTCGCATCGACTAAAGATGGCCTAGATTCAGCGATACAATACACCCCCACCCTCCTCCCCCCGATCGGGCATCCGATCTCGTCACACCCAATTAAACAGCGCATATTGAATTCAGCAGGTGGGCAACATGAGCTCGGGGCGCTAAACTGCTGAAGTCCGGTGACTGATATCGGATTCAATATTTGAGATGGGCGCTGGCGACTAATCGAGCGAGTTGTTCTTTTCACGGGCAGTAACTAGAAACGCCTCCCCTGCAGCGAAGGGTCGGAAAGATGAGCTGGGCACTGACATTTAAAGGCCCGCCTCCTAATCGCGTTTGTGCAGAACTGATTTGGAGAGATTTGAGTGGGCTGGGGGCGTGCACGTGGACGCAGACGCTGAGCGATGCAAAGTTGGGGGGAGCTGTCCTGGTGCTGAAATGTTCCGCAGCGCCGCGTGCACACGAGCACCTTTGGTCCTACACACTCTCTGTCTGTGAGGTCACGGAGAGGGCAAGATAATGGAAAGGTTAAACGTGCCCAATCAAGCGGACAGTCACGTGTCTGCGGGCGGTTCCGTGACGTTTGCAACCAGAAGGTTGCTTGGTGACATTTGCGCTTCACGTAGTCGGAGCCTTGCCTATGTTTGTTCGTGACGTAGCCGGCTGACGTAAAAAAAAATGTTTTAAAAGCGAAACAAAACAAACGAGAAGACACGCTCCTTGGTTCCTGCTTTTTTAGTTTTTAATTTGATCAATTTCATTTTTTTAATGTTCTCTGCTTCAGTCCTTCCGAAAAAGTAGACCCGACTTTATGAAACATCTAACAGGCCCAAGCTGCCGCCAGAACCGTACGTGTGCATGGCATAGCATGGCTTTAAGTGCATGGAAATGTATGCACCGCCCGCCTCTTGTTATCTTACTACATATAGCCTCAGAATGCGCTGCAATAAAGAAGCCCAACACTTGTATACATTACATAAGGAGGAAAGCACTTACAGTAAATACGCCTTTAAGGCCTCAATTTAAATTTGTACTATTTAACATTCGGGTTTATTGTTATTACTTTTTAAAGCTGGTCGTTATTTCAATTTTATTTTATTGTATTTACTGCAGCGTGTTTAGGAATTTGGTAGTTAAAGGGAAATTCGGTGTTTTAATTTTTTTCCGATAAAACAAACAAACGCAAAGTTAGTGAGACGCGAACACCACATTACCTTATACGGTCATCACCCCTGAGCGCCCGACCTGTGGTCCCTCTGGAGGCATGACGTTGGCATGGTGACTGAAACTTTGAAACACACAAGGTTAGCTTAAGCCTTAAAACTCCAGTGCACTAAGAAGACAAAAAAAGCACGTTACGAATCATTAATTACACTTTATTGCCACGTTACTGTGGCCTTTGTCATAGTATCACATTTTTGCTTATTATTTATGTCGCTATTCAACGCTTTACGGAGCAAGAATGCGGCGTGGAGTTGTTTTCTGACATGTTCATTTGATATAATCCTCACGTGGCTCTCTTCCTCCTGACAGTGGCGGTTGACGGTTCGTTGCGCGTGGACTGGAGCGCGGCAAGCTCCCTGTCTGACCTAGCGCTCCTGGGGAGCACGCGGACCTCCTTGGCGCGCAGGCTGATACTGACAGCACCTTTGGGCGCACTGGACTTCAGCGAGGTGCCCTTAATTCTCTCTTTATCATAGAAAAAAAAAAGTTTTTTGTGACATAACGACCCCGTGCAGTGTCTTCTGTTGGATAGCTCGGCTAGAGTTCACGTTAGACATTTAAACACAGTTCTGAGTGCTTTCTAATGGGCACTAATGGCGATTCAAATGAAGACAATGTCACATTAAATGTAGTAGCAGCAGGGTGCAGCGCCGTTTAAAGAGACCAGGCCTACTCTACAAAATGGACATGTAGCCTATGTGTTTAATTAGATTCAAAAGCTTTTATCGGCACCTTAATTTCTTTTGGAAAGTGGTTCTGCATTGACAATAATAAGATTATTATAGACCATTTTCACAGGTGTAAGAAACAATGGCTCAAGTCTGCCAGTGAATCATAACAGTGAACTAGTGTGCACAGAAGCAGGATCTCCCCTAATTTGTCCAAATATCCACAGTATTGATACCAGTATTGGCATTGGTATCAGACTGATACTAACAAATTAGGACTGAAATGGAAAAATATACCTCAGACGTGCACTGTATCTTTTTGTGTTTACTGTCATGTTGCCTATATTACATTTAAACAACCCCAAAGGGCTGTAGAGATGGCACATTACTCTCCAGGTCTCCAACAACCCAGTTTCAAAATACACTGAAAGCTGAAAGTTGTCTTGTTAATTTATTATTATGGAAAGTAATCACAATCACAGTGATTTAGCGGTCGTTAAAATGTGTTCGGAATTTGCAAATTAATGATGATTCATCTCATAAATAATGTCACACTGTTCCCCCTATATATGCTGCTTTCATAAACTAAAGCTATCAGTATCAGTGTTGCTATCAGCAGTACTGGTCCTGTATTTACTTTGGATGTAGTCATGCAAGATGTAGCGGTGGTAATATAAACGCTCATATTTGACATTAAGTATTTCAGTAATCTCCTCTCTTCTCGCGCTGATTTGTTATTTCTGTTCTAACAGGCAGTCATGTTATCTGATGCAGATTGTTAACAGGGTGAAAGGGCAGGCTGCTGCAAAAGTTCACGTGTTATTCTTTTATCTTCTGCCTTAAAAGGCTCACCTCTGGCAGCACAATTGTGGCTGAACACGTATGGTCTGGGCCATGTTTTAAGTAAACTGGTGGATTATAACCTGCAGAAGCAACTATCAGATATGGCTGCATCTCCCCACATGAAGTGGAAAATTATTTCCTCAACCTTTCCTGCTCTGATAATTACCTTATTAATCAAGGCACCCAAGTCTGTAATGTGCATTTCAACCTGGGCTTCTTTTCTCCTTTTTAGCTATTGCTGACACTAACCAGCTGGTTCTCAACTGATTTTACAAGCCATTCAGGGTAATTAGTGGCTACTTCTTTCAAATTAGGAATTTTAAATGAAATCTCAGTGACGTGCAAGGTCCCTCACTCTGCACACGAGAGCTTGTACACTGAGAGCGCTGTTGCTCCGCATATGCCCAACTGGAGCATCTGCCTGGATGTTCATTCGAATTCCCAAGCCAAGATGAACACATTTGCACATTTTAATCTGTATTTCTGATCTGACAATTGAAAATACAGGTGGACTCAAGGCTTGACATGCTCTCTCGCAGAACTAAAAAGCCTTGGGGGATGCCCTTGTCTGGCAGGCATATATTTTAAAAAAAGGAGGTAAGTGGAATTTGGGTGAGTCCAGCGGCTCTCTCTGAGAAGTTTTGCAAATATCATCTTGACTGTGAATCTACTAATCTATGTGACCCTGATGCTTTGACCTATTTAAAAGATTCCTATAAGGAACGAAGAAGGGGTTCAGCTACAGCAAGCTACTTAATGCAACAGCAGTGAGAGTTAGCAGGCTCATAATTGGCTGAGAGATGACAAGAGTGATGATGAATCCACCTTGCCCAGTTTTGTCAGTGGATACCATCTGGGTGTGAATAAGATGTGTCGCATAGAGCCAGCCAGGCACTGATTAGCGGCATCTAAGTGATCCATTACGAAATGCAGCCTCTCGCTCTTCATGGGCAGGCCTGATATTGAACATTGGAGACTGTGAGAGACAGCTTGGCTGGACTGCTGAGCTCAACACATCTATATTACAGAGGAAGTGCTCTAATGCTTCACATTTAACGGACCCTGCTTCAGCATCCTACATTTCTATTTAATGCTACAGCGTCTACTGTAAAAAGAAAGCAGGACGCCATGTGTGAGAGTCTCTAATCTGGCTGTCGGTTGGTGTTCTGAGTGTGTGACATCATTGGTGAATCACGCACACAGACACGCCGGGAGGAAGTGTTCCACGGTGACTGGTTGCCATAGAAATGTTCCCATTGTGGAAAAGTTAACAGACAGAGAGAGGGTGAGAAAAGAGGAAGACGGTAGAAACGTGGCGTGTCAAAATATTCAGGCTATTTTCCACAAGTGGAAGCAGAAGCCACAGCGCTCTGTTCCACTAACAGCTCTGAGGGCTTGAATTCTCAACTTTTTTTTGTCATGTATGGGTGGCAGAAGAAGGGGTTGACATTTGGTAAACAAGAACAGGGTAATTGACTCAGTTGGCCAGTACAATGGTACAAGTTAGATTTCTGCTGTGATGTGACCTCAATTAGCCCATAAAACAGAAGCTATGGCTGTAAAATGCTTCTCTGCCAGGCTTATTGGAAAACCTGGGGCATTGTTTTATGTTATTCTGTGGCTGTGTCACTGCAGACCAGTGAAATAGGTAAGCCTAATAATCCACTTTAGGTTCTTAATCACAGGTACAATAGCAAATGCAGCACATTCCAGTGTTTCCCCACAGATTTAGATTCTATTTGTGGTGAATAAGCAATACCATTTGTAAGGCTCTCCTCTGCAAAAAATTGAATTCCCAAGTATTTTGTGACAGATAATGGGTTCAATTTCAATTCCACCATCTTGTACTGCAGCTGTCAGCGGTAGTCCTAGTTCTGCCCTGTGAACCACTTTTAGACCTGCTGCAGGTTCTGGTAAGAGTGGCCCTCCAGCTCTTAGCACAGGCAAAGAAGAACTCCTTTCACAAACTGCAGTCCAAGATGGTGGAGTTGGAATCCCAGATCGTTTCAAATGGATTGAAAAAAATTGTGTTAGCAACGGCTACAGTTTTTTTTAATGGAGTGACAATCTTTGTAAAAAATTTAATAAGAAAAAACTAAATAAAAACAAAGGAATCAAACCTCACAGTATGCTTTTATCTCAGTGTGCAGGCTTTCAGGTGATGCAGTTAAAGAGGCACTGATAATGCAAGTTGCTCTGATGAGTCCGCTGCATTTTTCTCTGTGCTGTCTCCAGGCCACGGCTCACACAGACAGCACTTAACCAATGATTTAAAAGCCAAAGGTGAACCTGAGCAGCCTCTTTGCTGCTGGCAATCAGTAGACCATGAAGTTTTATGGATTCTGATGTGATGTGTGTACGTGCGTATTTGCACTGTTGTTCTTACAGGAGCCAGTACACTGACCTGCAGACATGAAACTTTAAAATGAAGGATTTTGACATTAAAACTCAGTCAGTTGTATTTAAAATATCTGAGGTATATAAATGTGTGCTACTTTGCACTGAATAAAGATTCTGCACAGCAGTCTTGAGCACCCTGTCTGCTCTGAGTACGGTTCATGTCTTCGTGTTCACTCTGCTGTTCAGTGGGGTAGTGGGAGAGCGGGGAGGGAGGGAGTCGATGGAGGAGCAGAGTCGGTAGTCAGCATGATGATGCTCAAGCAGAGAGCTTGTATCCATGTTTTTCAAAAGCTTGTGTTCTTTATAAGAAAAAGCGCATCGTGTTGGGGTAGTGATATCCCCCTGAAATCATCATGGAATATTCCACTGAAAAAAAACAAGCTGTGAAATGAAGTTTAGATTCATGAGGCAGGGTTAGACATGAGTTCTTGAGATGGATTTTCTCCAATGATTTATACAATCCTCCCATGTTAGACTTTCTCAGAGCAGCTGTTTGAAAGCAAATAAGATATTTAGCTGTGGGTCGTTTCTGATTTCCAATTAAAGCCCAACATCATATGTTATTCTAGAGCTCCTTGACGCTATGCATCACGTCTCCTCCAGATTATCCTCCCTCCGATCTGTGAGCACCTCTGCGACACAGGAGGATTAGCATGTCTTGAGTGTGGGATCCCCTCTGCCATGACAGCGCCCCTCTGACAGATAGTTTTGTTGTTCATTTATTCAGGCTGCTGTTTTGTTGCGGTTAAGTGGACTTGACACGACAAGGTCAGGGTGAAGCTCCTGTGTTGAGCTAACTTCATCACCAGTGTTCGTTGCACATCAGATGCGGCCTGCATAGACTGGTGACTCACTGCAACAAGGAAGGGAAATATGGCTTTCATAGTAGGTCAAGTAGTCCAGTGCTGTTCCTTTAGATGATTGAAACTAGAGCATCAGACAGCTCCATTGTGAGTCACAGTGGGATTGGAGACAACCTGTACCTGTTGAGATCCTCTTCAGCCTTTTACAAAAGAAATCATCAAATTGCTCAGTCAGCCAAGTGTGTTGACCCATATCAAGTAACAACGTGGGAGCATTAGCTCAGCATGCAGCCCCTGCTGCTGACGTGCTCCCACGTGAGTACAGGTCGTGCTGTAAAAAGTTAGCAGACAAAGGAACTTGTCAACACCTGATACTCCCTCTGTGGTTTGAGTTTACAGAGCAGACAGATTTGACTGAGGACGGGGTGGAGGGAGGAAGGGGACCATCTTTTTGTCTTCAGTCTGGTTCTCTTAGTTCTCTAATCGGAAATGACCTGTCTACACACACACACACACACACACACACACACACACACACACACACACACACACACACACACTCACACACATTTAAACAGACAGAATTTTAACTATGTCAAAAAAAATAAAAATCTACCTGACAGAGTTGATGCCACTGGAGGGATTCACTTGGGTAACAGCTGTTTGGAGATAATCTGTAAATAAATATGAGTGAAACACATAGAAATGCTCCATTTCCTCAACCATCTCCGTTCTTGCAGCCGCATAGCTAAATCCTCCATTGTATCTTGAGAAGCATCTTCTCAGTTACCTGAACTATTAGTTTGCTAATTAGCCAGCAGGCAAAACCACTAAAGCGAACGTGAGTGCGACCAAGCATCAAGTATTTTTCTGCAACTTCTGTTTCATCCCTTCAACAAACACTATGCTCATCCAGAGTGCTTAAATAGGACATTTAACTTGCTATTGTGTGCTACATAAGTCGGTTAAACATAAGCACAGTCCAGCTTTGGAGTAACTGCTGTACATTATTGATGGTGTGCAGCGTGCAACTCATTAAAACACAGATTAAAGTGTGTAAAGAGAAAATTCTTCAGTTCACAAAGGCTTGTAGTAGTACTCTGTACTCTGAATCCAGGAGTTCCTTCTCTATCAAAAGGCAGCACTGTGTTTTCTCCTGTGACTCATAGCAGGATGTATTCAGAGCTGGCTCACATTCACGCTGAGCTACTGTATGAGTTTTCACTCACTCTTATTTTTTTTCTTTTCTTTTCTTTTCTGCCGTTTCAGGTGAATGTTGACGACACCATTGAGATGTTACCAAAATCAAGAAGAGCTCTCACTATTCAAGAGATTGCTGCGTTAGCACGATCCTCCCTGCATGGTGAGTGCTGCATGATATTGTACATGGTGAAAACACCTGATCATTGCGAAGTCATGTTGCGGTCTAATCCTTGATATTTGGCATATAGGTATTTCCCAGGTGGTCAAGGACCATGTGACGAAGCCTACAGCCATGGCACAGGGCAGAGTAGCCCATCTAATAGAGTGGAAAGGCTGGTGCAAGCCTATAGACACTACAGCGGCCCTGGAGTCAGACTTCAACTCCTATTCTGACCTCACTGAAGGAGAGCAGGAGGCACGCTTTGCTGCTGGTAAGATTTTGTGTTTCTTATAATGTATTATAAAAAGTTATAGAGAGTGTTTTTTACACAGGCACTGGTAACAAACTGAAACAATGACTTAAGGCAAGAGGGCATATGAAAACGTCATGATGAAGCATTAGTTACACAAGAAACCATAATAAGAGTAAATGTAGGCTAATTTAACAGCAAACTCATCACCACTATATTAACGGCATATCAGTTTTGCATGCTCATGAACTTCAATAAATCACTGCAGGTACAATTTAGCATTAAACAAGACCTGTTCACAGAAACATCAACCCCAATCAGCTGATGGCTGGTTAGTACTCAGATATCATATGTCACAGCTATTTAAGCTGCTTCAGCCTACATCGTGTGCAAGCGCTTTTGCAACCCACCTCCACCCCAGCACTTCCATCTAATGCTGTGTCAAACACAACATCGTCACTGTTAGTGTGATCAGGTAAACATGGGGAAAGGAGGTAATGTCACGGTCCTGGGTCGGGTCGACCCAGTATTTTGAGTTTCTTATGTTTTGGTTTATTTTGCATTATGGATTAGTTATTCTCTGGTGATACTGTTTTGATTACAATTATATTCTGATTCTTTAGTTATCTGATGATGATGTTATTATTTCTGGTTTAGGTTGCCTGTGCTTAGTCTTCTCTGCCCGTATGTCCCTCTGTTTGTCCATGACGTCATCATGCCTGTTTACGAGTCTGTCTCTGTCTGGCGAGTTTCCTGTTTTATTGTGAAGGTCCGTGTCGTATGTGAGTGTGCTCAGTTTACGTTTCCCCTGTCCCGTCAGCCCAGATTCCTCCCAGCTGTGTTGCCCTCCTGTCTCTCATCCCCTGATTACTGGTGTGTGTATTTAAGCCCTGGTTGCTCGTGTTCGTCTGTGTCTCCGTGTCAGTCTTGTAACTCCGTGTCAGTCTGTGTAACTCCGTGTCAGTCTGTTACCCTGTGTTCCACGGTGTCCTGTTCCTCATCTGCTTCTCATCCCGTTGTCATATGCTCCCAGGTCTGTTATTTTTAGTTCTCCCAGTTTAGGTGTATTTAGTTATTTGTTATACCCCACTGTTTGTTTGCCACTACACCTCTGTAAATAAAACCACCGGTATCTCATCCACTGCCTGCATCTTGGGTCCTTCTTCCCACTCCACACGGCTCGCCTCGGCAGCCGTGACAGGTAATCTCTTGCCTGAGTTACGTACGTTAATAATATCATTGCGGCACCAATTGCTGATTGCAACACGTGAAGGAAGAGTGGTTTGTGGCTGGATCTCAAACAGGATTAAATCAGCCACACTGTACAGTGGATGTGAGCGGATTGATCTGAAAAACAATAGTATTGATACCAACACAGGTATTGGTGTCAGATCATGACTAGCACGTTAATATTAATACTTTGCTTCTGTCCTCAAAGTGCAATTTGTAGTTCACTGAAATTGCGTTAAATTGTCACATCTATTTTATTTTATAGCCTATTGCACATTTAAACAACAGACGTTGACCCAATGTAAACATTCAAGGTCTCCAAAAAAACTAATTTTCAAAATGCATGATAAAATGACAGGTGTACTTTGTTGTGTACTAATCACAATCGCTGTAATTGCAGTAAATCACAGTGATTTAGTGGTCATTAAAATGTGTTTAAAATGTGCAAATTAGTGAAGCTTGAGCTCATAAATACTGACACATTGCTCTCCGCTATATAAGCTGCCTTTATAGGTTAAAAGTATCTGTATTGGTATTGTCAATGCTGCTCCCATATTTACTTGGTATCAGATGAACAACAAAGAGCTGCAGTACTGCACAGCACTGCTGTATAATGAGACGGGCAATGTGGCGATAAATTCCATGACTTCCAAAAGTTGAATCAAAACACGAGAGCTTACAGTTTTGTGCACTTTAGCTGTTTGTAATGCAGAGTGAGTTCAGCCCAAGCTGAGATAACTCTAATGACATAACCGCGGTTAAGATGTTATTTTCCTTATGTCGAGTAGGTAAGTAGAGCTTTCCTGGAACAGCCTGATTGTTTTTCCACAGCCAGTCACACCTGCCTTCCTAATTTGAATATTGAGATGTAATCACAAAGCAGGCAAAACTGAGACAACAAGAACACTCATTAATACCAGGTGTAAATACAAGGAGGCTCAAATGTCATTGGTCAGGTAAGATATCCAGACACTGATCACATGTTAGCATTTGTTGTCTTTAACTCTTCTCCTCCTCTCATGTTCCTCTGAGAGAGAGAGCGCACTCACCACAGCTCATCTGTCTCCTCTGTATTTCCCCGACTCACTTCATCTTTGCCTACTCTTTCACTCACTCTTGTCCCCTGTATTTATTCTCTTATCCTATTCACTGTCCGTTCTTTAAATGTTTCTCCCCCTGACCTCTGTTTCTCTTACCTCTTTTCCATCTTTTTCACCCTGCCCCTCCTGCCCACTCTCCCTCTATTCTTTTGCTCGCTCCCTGCAATGCAGACTCTCAAGGTTAATTTGCACAGTAAGGTTTTGCTCCCGGCTAGTGGCACCGTAACAGAGCGATTTTCTTCTGTGCCTCCTCTGTTCTGCCTTCTTTTTTTCTGTCCTCTTTAACTGTTTACTCATCCGTCTTGTCTTTGTGATCTCATGGTCTTGTGTACGTGTATTGATGAGGTACCTAAAAGCATTATATCCATACATAAGATCAACACACTATCAGGACTAAACCTGTACTCTTTGTATATAGTACTATTTATATAGTTCAAACAGTACTATATTTGTATAGTATTAGTTGATCCTGGCCAGCTAACTGTAATGCATACCAGAGAGTGGGTTTTTTTGCTTTGTTTTAAACGGTAGATAACAGCATGTAAACATAAAAGCTTCAAATTATTTCATTTCATTCATTTCTTTGTTTCTGTATTACAGTTGGAAGCAGTGGGGGTAGTTGTTGGAGAGATATTACTACACATTGTACTCCTCTTCATCTCAGGGAGCCGCCACTTGTGCTGACTCTCTTTATTTGTTTATCAAGTTTCACCTTGTAGTCTGTTATGGTGCTACTGTGGGTGACTGGAGACACTGTGTGAATGTCAGCAAGTGTGTTAATGCATTAAGCAGGCATGTGCGAATGTGTTAAGTGAGCATTTGGTGGGCTTAGTGCGTATTTGAACTAGTTACTCTAGAACACACTGGTGTTTGTGAATATACTTCTGTGTATGTGTGTAGGAGGCGTGCTGAGAATTGAAAGAGCTGCTGGGGTTGTCCTTTCGATAGACTGACTTCTGCCAGCATGCTCAGACACACACACACACACACACACACACACACACACACACACACACACACACACACTTTGCAGGTAATCCTGCAGAGTATCTCCATACTCACACGTGCCTAGAATATGGTAAATGGCCTGTATTTATATAGCGCTTCACTAGTCCCTAAGGACCCCAAAGCGCTTTACATATCCAGTCATCCACCCATTCACACACACATTCACACACTGGTGATGGCAGCTACATTGTAGCCACAGCCACCCTGGGGCGCACTGACAGAGGCGAGGCTGCCGGACACTGGCGCCACCGGGCCCTCTGGTGAACGGGTGAAGTGTCTTGCCCAAGGACACAACGACCGAGACTGTCCAAGCCGGGGCTCGAACCGGCAACCTTCCGATTACAAGGCAAACTCCCAACTCTTGAGCCACGATCGCCCCATATAATGTCATTGAAGAATGTGGCAAACTATGTATGTGTTCATTACAGTGAGTCCAGACCAGTTTCTGTTGCCAGCACTGTAGCTGCATGGCCAGATTTATATTACGCCAACGAGGTGAAGTTACATTATGAAAGGTTATGCTATGTCAGGTTACGCTATACTATGTTATGTTACTCTATGCTATTATTCTTTGTTATGCTATTTTCCGTTATGTTATGCTTTATCACGCTACACATTGCACGTTATGCTATGCTACGCTATACTATGTTATTTTACACTATGCTATTGTTCCTTGTTACGTTATGTTACTCTGTGCTACGTTACCCAGTGCTATGCTACGTTGTAAAGTGCTTCACCTATTGTAATGCTACCCTGTGGTACCCTCCATTACACTATTTTGCTACAAATGAATGTAAATTGTAGTTTTTTTTTTAAACTACATTTAATAATTAATAATTTGTTTTACTTTCCTGTTGTCAATTTACTTTAGCATCTTGAATTATATTCAGATTTTCAATTATAATTAATTAGATAATTAATAATAAATGTAATTATAACATTTAATAATTCTCATTATGAATAAATAATGAATAATATTTTATATAATTTTGTACTCATTTTCTTTAACTTATTTATATTTTGTTTTCTTATAGTTCATTTTACTTTATATTTTTGTTTTTAGTTAAACACATAAGGTCTTTTTTACCTTATAGATATTTTGTGAAATACTATTTTTATTGATCTGAACTAAATGTTTACTTTTCTTATTAAAGTTCTTTTATTATTGTAGCTTGTATTTAATGCTTGCTTAAAGGAATTATAAAAAGACTTTGAAAGGAGAAGTAAAGAGCAGTCCGCACTATTTCTATTGCTGGTACATGTGCCAGTGTTTGTGAGGACGCTCAGGGCCAAGTTACAGTGAAAGATGAATGAGATCATCGATCTTTCTCTGTGGGAGACAACGCACGAATACTGAGCATTGAGCAGGGAGAAAGAGAGTCAGAGAGACATGAGGTGATGGAGACGAAGGAGACAGAAATTCTAATAAGAAGAGAGGGGCAGGTATGCACTATGAAAGACAATCGAACAGTAGTCATGAGCAGGCGAGTGGATAGTGTTTTATCAAGAAAGACATTTGTAAGAAAGGCATGATGAGAGTGGGCAGAGACATGATGAGGAAAACAGAGAAAGGGCTTTCTGATTGGTCAGCTTCTGCTGATGATAACTGGTGACTGGTCACTTGGTTCTTATAGCTTACTGGTTCTGGCACTTGCTGAGTCACATCAACAACAAACTCAAACACACACACACACACACACACACACACACACACACACACACACACACACGCACGTACAGCCGTCTGCCATCATGAGTATGCATTAAATGCATCATGACATGCGTGTCATATTTTCTTATTTTATAAAGAAATGATATCATTGTCATTTCAATAAAAATGTCAGTGCTGATCAATAATGGATCTTTCCTGCTATTATGAGAGGCAAACACATTTAGCCAGTGCTAGACTCTCATCTTTGTGCTTCTTCCAACTCACTGTCTCCTCGGCACTGGAAGGAATGCAACCTGCATAACAACATTGTCACACACTCTGTGACATCTGTTTGAAGTACACGAGCTAAATGGCTGCCGAACAGCATTTACTGCAAAAGGAGAACAGTCTGTGTCCCTTCTTATTCTGCGCCGTGTGCTTTGTTGCTCGGTCAGACCTGCCAATTAAAATCAGCTACATGACGTGGAGGCTCACTGCCTTGCTGCTCCTTCTTGTTACTATGCCAATCATGTCATAGCTTGTGTGCATGTGTAGCTCATGCGTGTCCGTGTGTGTTTGCAGGTGTGGCGGAGCAGTTTGCCATTGCAGAGGCTAAGCTGAGGGCCTGGTCCTCCGTGGATGGCGACGAGTCCAATGATGACTCATATGATGAAGACTACCTGCCTGCGAATGAGCCCACCACACAGAGCACAGGTAAGCACCCACACAGACACTAAATCACTAAATCACATTTACTTCCTTCATATTGTGCCCTTCCTCCCTAATACCCTGTTACACACCCTCTTCCTCACTCCCCCCCTTCATTGTCTCTGTGTCTTTCATTGTCCCAGTGCCCTAGTTTTCATCCTCTCCAGACATTTTTTTTGGTTCCTTGGTGCAATTTGATATCCCTCCTGCATGTTTAATATCATTTCCTTTGCAGCAGAGACAGTGTCTGTGTGAGGATGGTGTGTGAGCGGGTTATAAATACACAGAGTGCATCTGACCAAGGCAGTGTGTACGTGCATGCTCGTGTTCACCACAGCTTTCATCTTGATTACATGGAACCACCAATAACCCGTACTGCAGCTAATAAGGTTCACCTCATTCTTGCATCTATGTCTTCATATGATCATCAATGTTTTCTTACCTCGGGGCAAAGACCCTTCAGTGAAGACAGCTCCACATGTGCAAACCTGTTTGTGATATTAATCAGCTCTACATGAAACGTGATCTGAGTTTGTGACACTGTGAAACCGACTTTTTCATTTTACTGTTGAATAGATCCCGACCTCCGCTGCTTCCACAGTGATTCCACTCAAATCACATTTTGTCATCCTTATAATGCCATGTTAGTATTTCTACTAAAAATATTTGCAGGACATTGCATGGCTTTATTTAAAGAGTAACTTTTTAACATTTTTAAACTCTGTGCATTGAGTAGCTTCTAACATGAGAATGCTGGTGTTTTAACTTCCTGTGTCTTTTTAGCAGTAAACTCTGAAACATGAGTTTGTTTAAAAGGCACTCTATGGAGATAAATACATGTGCAGTAAAATGCATATGTTTCGTAACACTTTATAAAAAAGACAATAATTAATAGAGAGTAAATTCATAGTTAAACTTCATTTCATTATTTTTCTACTCTGAGATTATAGTTGTCAGAGTATTTTTGCTTTTAAGGATTTTATTATTCATATAATAATCAACTAAGAGTGTTTATATTTCTCTTATGTACTCAACCAGCTGCATATTTTAATTGCTGGCCCCCTACTCTATAACGGAAACTGTTTGCCTTCACATTATCAGTCTTTGCCTTCACATTGTCACTGTTTGCCTTCACACTAGCAGGAAACCGCCACCCACGAGTAAGAAACAACCTTGTAGAGAACACGGAGTTTTTTGATAAACCACACCTGTTTTCTTGACAAGATAAGGATGATATTTCCTTTTCTGTATGCTTCATGATGTGTATAAATAAAGCCAGACTGCACCAAGGAGGTGTGTGAGTCTCTCCCTGAGTCTCTCACCCGTGCACGTTTAAAACTGCTCTAAGTGTCTGAGTGATATTTCATTGCATCTGAGTACTTTGATAATAGAATATCTTTAACAATAGTAAAGCTTACTGTGATTGTCATTGAAAAGTTTCAGTGCTTAAATTTATCAAATTATAAACTGTTTTTTGGTTGTCTAATACAAAACTGTAACTTGTGTTTTTGAAAGTACTTAAGTTGGCAGGGAGCGTGGCATTTAGAATAAATGACAAGAAAATAAACCTCGGGGCAGCAGTTTATATCCCATTATACCCAGTGCTTAGTTTTAACTTTTTAATTTTATTTAATCAATTATTTGTTACTTTTGTTGCAGTTTATTTAGTTCAAGTGGGCGGATTGAGCCAAATATTGATAGTATCGATACTAAAGCTGCTACTGGTATTGGATCGATATTAGCACAAACAGATCAATACTTTACTTCTATCCCCTAGTTTCAGTATATAATATAATATGATATAATATAATATAATATTTATTACATACCCTGAGGACGTAACACTACCGTTATTGCCATTTTAGTGTGTACTCTCAATCTAGAGTTTATGGTATGTCATCATGATATTTTAAAACAAAGAAACAAAAAATTAAGACACAAATAAAAATTAATGACAAAATGACAAAACTACAATAGCTCCAGAGTGCCTCTAGTGGTAAACGTCTCCATAGGGTTCCTTTAAATGAGGAAAAAAATTGATTTGATTCTGCAGTCAGTCACAAAAACCAACTGAAAATGTTATCTTATCGCTGTTCTTCTTCCTTCAGGACTTCATGCTTACAGTCTGTGTCATTCCCTCTAGATGTGCCATCTTATCCTCCCTACTTGAAGGACCTGATCCACAGTCAGCTTTGCCAACACCTCGGCTTCCGAAGCCCCTGTTGCGAGAGTCGAGGTGGAGGTGTAGAGGGAGGTGGCAGTGGAGAGCCCTCCCCTACGGCAGGCTCTCCTGACACCCTGTGCTCCAGCCTCTGCAGCCTGGATGAGCAGCACCCGCTGCTGCGCGACCTGGGAGGCCACCGCGGCACCCACTCCCACAGCAACGCCGCAGAGCTTGCTGCAAAGATCCTGTCAGCGCTGCATGGACGGGAGGAGCTGCTCCTTGCCCGACTTCAGAGGGTGGGGCAGAGTGGGCCTGGCGGGGGAGACTGTGGCTTCCAAAGCCTGGGAGTGGTAGGGCGGGGCATCAGGCCCTGTGGGGGTCAGGACTCGCCTTGCTACTCAATGTCTTATTCTGACACGTACCTGTCACCAGGTGAGGATGACGACACCCCCTGCAAGGACTATGACAGCACCGTGTGCCAGGTGGAGGCGGAGCGCAACAGGGTGGAATACCCGCCCGACTACGACCCTCGCAGGAGGGTGTCCGACGTGGCCTCCTCTGGTGTCGTTTCTCTGGATGAGGAGGACGAAGAGGAGGAGGAGGAAGAAGAGAGGGCAGGAGAGCCAAACAACCAGTGACTCCTCTCTTCTCGCCTCAGTGTTGAATCCCTCCACACCCTCCGAAAGATTCCCTCGCCCCCTTCATGGCATCTGAAAAATGTCACCCTCTGAGCATGTTGGGTTTTTTTCTGTCTCTCCTTGGACCGATTAAATCATCCGTCTTTGCCTTACTTGCAGCATTTCCTCATAACTGCTTTGTCCTCATCCCACGTCTCCCGTCAGTTTTCCTTTGAAGGCGTCCAAACAATCCTTTTTCTTATCAATGTGAAAGCGGCGAGTGTGCTGGACTTGCTGAAGCAGCCCAGCGACCGACTCGTGGGTATGACGCTCACAGTTTTCGGCTCTGTTCTGTACCTGTGAAGCAAACAGACGCCACTCCGAGGCACACAGAATGCCTGAGAGTCCAAAACTCTGACTTACTATTTGCATGTTTTTTGCAAGTGCTGAAATCATTGGGCTGACCCGGTCTTGAGCACGATTTGTAATCTCAGCTGTTCTGTATAACCCCCCTCCCTCCCTGCCCATCTCCCCCCTCCCACCTCAGCGTCTCCCACAGGAGGGCAGGTTGACATTGCATCCTGGGACCTGCCCTTCCTCCCTCCCCCCAAACCCCCCTCCTTTGCAAGAGACTAAATAGCATCCTTTTTGGGCATGGCTTGCTGAGTATGCCAAACTATTTATCCCTGTCACTACCAATTATGAGCAAATGCTGGGAATGTCTTCAAAGTGACAGGACATAGTATGTATTTTAAAATAACAAAGTTAAAAAAAACAACTAACAAACAAACAAATTTGTCACAGATGATATGACAGAAATGATATGTTTTTATTGTACTAGTTTTCTATCACTCAGACAGTCGTTGTTCATATTATTCCAAACGTCATTATGATGGGCATCCGCCATAATGATCAGCTTTGGCTTCTGGATATTTTGAGTGATTCTGTGGATTCCTGCAGGGAAAACACAAGAATTTTGGCAGTCCTGAAGTGGCTGTGGGTGTTCAGCAGGAAGCCACGCAGTCTTAAACAGACAGATATGTTTTTTTGTTTTTTCCTCTGTGAAGCGATAAGTTGCATTGGAGATTTTTCTATATTTTTGTATGCGTTGTCTTGCTTTGATCTCTTCGCCTATGCGGCGTGCCAGTGTATGTGGTTTTTGCACGAAGCTAACGTGGCTGTAGATTTCTCCTTTTCTTTGTTATCACTGTGTGATATAGTCTACTGGGAAACAAACAAACAAAAAAAACATTCAAATGTGAACAAAAAAAAATTATTTCAAAAGAAGATACTGTGATACAGTTTGTTATCGCCATTTGTCATGATCCTCGTGAAGAGCTTGTTTTTTTTTTTCCCTCCCTTCCTCCTTTTTTTCTTTCCAAAAACGCTCTTCGCTCTCTTCTCTCATGCTGACTCTCGGAAAGCTTTGCCTTTTATTCTCGACTTTCTCTTCTTTTTCTACGATGCTTGGCAAAAGGGCATGTTTATGTGACACGTTGCAGAATCTCCTGTCTCCATTGTGACGTCAGGAGTCCTGTTGAGGTTCTCCCAGAGGGACTGTCATTCATACAACTCAGGAAATCCCATCGGACCAGAGCATCGATGCATCCCGCCCCCGCTCGCATCACACCGCTCAGCTCTCATCCTCCGTGTGTGTGTGTGTGTGTGTGTGTGTGTGTGTGTGTGTGCGAAAAAGCCCGGTGCGCATACTAATTTTCTACAAATAATTAAAGCACAGAATCAGTCCCCACATCCCTTAATTTATTTTGTTCGACTGTTTAGAAAAACCTCACTGTGCTACTCTGTAAGTTTTTGCACAGGTGTGTGGGTGTGTTATTGTGTGTATGTGTGTCTGTATTGTAAGATGTCAGCAAGCACTTTAAGCTTGCACCGTATATTCATTCCAAAATCCCTTCAATGCAGCAATTCCCTTTAAAACAGTGTCTGGTGTAGCTGGGAGCTGGACAGAGGTTTGACTTCTACCAGTGTGGGAGATTAAAAAAAACAAAAGGTGCATAAAATGAAAAAAAAAATTAAGCAAAAAGTGGCGATAAAGCTAAATCGTCTGAATTCTGATCAAAACTATGTGAATATGAGGAGGAGCATTTGAAAAGATTGTGACAACTCAGGGGGAACCATTGAAGCTGTGCCTTTCATTTGACCTCCCATGTTTCATCATCATCGCCATAATCAAATCTACGATGTCACTCAGGCCGTAGCTTGGCCTCCTTCCCCCCCTTTGCTAAAAAAACAAAAAAAACAATATGAGTGAGAGCAGAGTAAAAATCCTGAGTTGGAGTCGGACAGCGAGAGCAAAGATCCTGTTGCGTCTCCTCTGTGTCCGCCTGCTGTAGCTGGAGGTTACAGCCGGCCCATTTGCGTCATTGTCCTTTTGGTTGACATTAAAAGCTGGGCGATGCTGGCAAAGCGAGGTTGTGCTTTTGTCTGGGTGTCGTGACGCGAGTGTGCCATTGTCCACCCCCCACCCTGAAACCCCCTCCTTTTTTCCTCTATTTATCTTCTCACTTTGTCCACCACTGTGTTTGTGTGTCTCTGAGCGTCCTCACCTTCCATCTGTGTGTGACTGTGTGTGTGTGAGACTGAAGGTGATGCATTTTTCATTCACCCAGCTGTCTTATTCTGTCTCACACAGATCCACAAAATGTGTTTTATTATTAGAGACTTCAGCCATTAACCTTTTCCTGTGTAGAAGTGGCATTTTTCTGGATTTCTTCATCTTTTCTGTCCTCCTGGGAGTGTTTTGTCCATATAAAAAGTAAAAAATAGCAGATTTCCCACTGACACGCACGCAGACAGCCTGATGAATGTGTCCCGTTTCCATCCTGTTGTAGCCGTCCTGTCATTTCCTGTCTCCTCTTCTCCCACCTTTCTTTTGTCCCTTCCCCCCCCCCCCCCCCTCCCCATTCTCTCTCTCGCCCTCCATCTATCTCCACAGGGGTCTCATTACGTAACTAAGAGGACATCTGAGTGCCACCTTTGCCGACAGGCAATTAGCTAGCGATTATAAAACCGCCTGGTGATCGGGAGATGCGTGTCTCTCCTGTCTATCGTTTTCCCCTTCACTCTGTCGTTACCCTCCCCCCACTGCCTCTCCTCACCACCACCACCACCTGTTTTCTAAGTGACATCTTTCGAGGTTGGCTGTCCCAGAAAACTCCTCACAGTTTTTTTACTTCCACGGTCTCTGTTTTGAAGTGAACAATATTTTGTGGGCCACTAACAAAAGACCACCCTGCTGTCTCTGAGTCTGACAGATGTCTTTGCAATGAAACATATTCCTTAGTGTGTGTGTGTGTGTGTGTGTGTGTGTGTGTGTGTGTCTGGGCAGTGTGTTTTCGTTTGTTGCTTCAGGCAAGCACTGACATTGGATACTTATTAGAGAGAGGTGTTCCAGATTCTGTGTGTACGTGTGTGATAGTGACGGAAGAACCCAGCGCTATAAAAAGACATCAAAACATCTGTTGGACAGTGTCAACGCAGGGGAGGGGGGTGGGGGGGTGTATGAATATTCAGTTGGCGTTGGTGCCCCTGTCCCCTTATAACCTACTTACCATTTTAGAGCAAAGCTGAAGGGCCTGGGGACGGATCTCTTTCTCTCCGCGCCACAGCCCCACCCGCCTGTGGATATCAGGACGAGAGCTGCAAACACAAGACAGACAGAGAGCGTGAAAAGTGCTGCAGGAACACAGAGAGTGGAATCTTCCCAGGCAGAGATGGTCTATGTTTAACCTACATTAGCCACTGCTGTTTTAATTAAAATGTTCCACAAATCCTCGGGGGTGGGTGTTTGGGTGCACATGGCGACGCGTGCACTCTGAAATGAGAGGAGGCTTGTGTGAGTTCAGAGAGCAAAGCCATACAACTGAGAGAGAGGCATCGCAGCACTATGGGCTAACAGGGTACGAGGAAATGACTGTAAATGAATGTATTGTCCCATCCACATCCTACCTGGGATGCATGTACCACCACCCACATCCACCCACATCTAACACTCAAACTCAACCTCTCCTCCTTCTGAATTGAAATCATCTCTCTCTCTTTCTTTTTTCCTCCCTCTTCTTTTTAATACTTTCTTCCTGTTTTGGCTGAATGTAATTATTTGAATATTACCATATTGGATTTGAAAAAAAACAACAACTTTGTCTGCTGCATCTGATATTATTTCAACTTAATAAAAATATTGTTATTGCTATTTACAAAAAAAAGTGTGTTCTTTTTTTAATCGCATGGTGATGCAATGTTCTCCAAGGATTTCATACAGTGTTTAAAGGTTGTTATTATTAGATAATGAACTATTACTTTACATCCTCTGTCAGCATCATTTAGTCCTGGATGCTCACTTTGGACACACAACATAAACCCTGTTGCAATTAGCTCCCTGACGTGATGATATAATAATTATGAAGTCATTAGCAGGGCAGAGGACGCTCGTTGGAGACAAACTGCACAGAATCGAGCTGGTTCCAGTGGTCCTGCAGTAGTATGTATTTCATTTTTCCATGACATCACAGGCCCCCAGGGAGCCAGCTAATGCATTTGGCGGTTCAGGAAAGAGTGGAGAGGATGGATAAATCAGAGCAGAGCTCGATACTGAGTTCACACTCAGTGTTACGTCCCCACATGAAAACTAGGCAAAGAGGGTGGGGGACAGTAACAGTTGGATCCAGGTTGAAATGAAAAGAACGCCAGGCAGAGGTATTTAACACAAAATATATCTTTATTATAATCTGTTAACTCAATATTCATATAAACAGCAACAACAAAAAGAGACAGCAACGCTGCTTTAATGATAAATCAGACAGGCCAACCCAAAGAGACGGCGACCACGTCAACAAAGAAAACAACTATAAGGCTTCAACAGAAAAAGACAGCAAGGAAGACTACTGCTCAGTTAAGAGCTACTCACAAAGAGCCACACACAGTGGGGCTGGTCACACACAGCAGGCCTTTTCCACACCTAGACCAGTCTCACACACTGCCCAGCACAGAGGGAAAACCTCTGTGCTGGGCAGAAGCCTCTCCCACACCCACACTGCTCTCCTCCAGCTTATATCACCTCTGAGGGTAATTGGTGGTAAACGAGGGCAGATGAGCAGCAGGTGTGTCCTAAGGGAGAAGGCAGGGGCAGGGAGAGGAGGAGGCGGAGAAAAAAACCACACCCACACAAGGGCAGTTTCAGGAGGCCCAGCTAGGGCCGTAACACTCAGACAAATGTAAATCACCATTAAGTTATGGGTCGCTGAACCCCAGTGATAATGAACTTAAAGACAAAAAAAGAATCATTTTAGATTTCACAGACTTCATTCACAGCATAAAGTATGTAGATTGGCAAGCAGTGGAAATTATAACCTGACTTTAGGATAAAGTGAGCAGGATCGGGGCTGTGACAGATGGTTAACAAACTTAACTGACCATCTGACCACGTATATTTCAGCAACAGGGAACTGGTCTGTTGTCATTGTTTATGCACGATGACACCCTACACTTCATTTTTAGCTACATGTTATTTGACCACTTCTCCAACACTTCTCACAGAAGTCAGACTGCCTCCAGCATGAATATTCTGCAACATTAAATACTGTTTGACATCAACTGTATATAATAACATTGTGGCCAGCATATAAATATAAACAAAGATAATAAAAAGATATTCCATTTTCTCATTAGACCCAACTACGTTTTGCAAACACAGAAAACACCCCGTACAGGCCACTATCAAGAATGCAGATTTATAGCACTTCAGGGGCGATTCTAGGATCAGAGCTTTGGGGGTGCTGAGTACCCAGAGAGCTGCCCAGCCAGGCAAAATAAACTTTACACGTCAGGTTGAGACTTCTTCCCTGTCTCTGTCAGTCCCTGCATCCTTAAATGTCTCCAGTTGTCCCAAGTTCTCTCTGACTGTCTCCTTGGTGCATTTAAACCCCTGTTCCTCCCTGTCTTCCACATCTGTTGTCTTCATCTCTGTTATCAGTCATTATAATTTTACCATCTCTGTGCAAGACTGCAAATTTCTTTATTAAATCATAAGATTCTTAAATTCATCAAGTCTCTCTGTGCCTGGATCCTCGTCACAAAACATAACATCACTGTTTTTGTCACTGTACATTTTAACACAATTTAATCCCCAAATTTTGAAAAGTCTGTAACAAAACCATCAAATCTGATAAAGTTTATTTAAATGCTGCAAAACAAGAATGGATTAGAATAAAAGAAATACATATCCTAACCTTAATTACTGCGGGAGAATAATGAATGATGCTCATGGTGAGTAAAAAGTAAACTGAGTGCATTTTTTGGACAGAGATTCAATTTTAATGAGTATGTATAATATAATACAGTTACATAAAAAATACTCCCAAAACAGAATAACTTATTACAAATAAATTATTACAAAATACTAATAAAAAAATATAAAAATGGAGGCAACTTTGCCTGTGGTAGAATGTATACAATGTATGAAAAAATCTTTACTGCAGACACTAATTTGACTAATTTAATAATACTAATTTTGTGTTGTAACATTTATGAGTTTCATGTTTGGTACTTGGGAGAGCTTGACATTTTCTCAGGTGGTACACACTGTAAAAAGTTTGAGAAACACTGATAAGGTAAGTGTATGTGTGATTTTGGAAAACATTTACCGGTAAAGCTGCAGTACAGAATCTTTGAAACAAACAAGCTTAAAACATTTTTAGAATATAAACAGAGCATCTGCTTCTCTTTGCAGCTCCTCACTCCACCAGGGCTGTTTGGCACTTTCTGATGCGGCAGTCATACAGACAACTGGACGGTCCAAAAGTTGGCCTACCCATTACTGGCTGAGGTTTTAGTAAAGTTGTGGCTGAACCACATAAAAATATATCATGAATTTTAATCTCCCCAATCCATTATAATGTTATGTTGGAATGTTGTTAGAGGGTCAAAAATGTTTCAACCCAGTTTGTTTTGCAGATTCTGTATAGCAGCTTTAATATAGGGAGAACACAACTTCCTGATTGTGTGAGTAAAATCAGGTTTTTTCTCTTTGTCAGTTTAACAGTTTCTGTTTTGCCTGTCACTGTTCCCTGTCTGTTTTCTTACCTGGTTCTTCCTGACCTTGTACTTTCTCCTCACGTTCCCCTCTTTCCTCTCTCCCTCTTTGGACTGACAATCATACACAACTAGATTGTATTCAATTAGATGAAAATTTACATTAATATGAAAAAAATACTATTAAGATCACTAATGAAAAGTCCTCTCTCAGTGTACTTTCAACCAAAAGGCAAATAACCAAACCACATGAACATCTAATAAAAGATAAACATTGAAACACTGATCCAACATTATTCTTGATTGACGGATCATTTGATTTTACACTTTTACCTGAATGTGGCTCCTTTTTTTGAAAAAACTTCCTTATATCCATTATGAACCTGGCTGTCTCTCTGTACACACACACACACACACACACACACACACACACACACACACACACACACACACACACACACACACACACACACACACAACAACAACGGAGTTATAAGGTTAATGGGCATTCAGTCAGTTAGCTAGTTAGTATCCATTTCAAACAGGACAGTGGTAACAACAGCAGGCTACGGACAATTTAAAGTTTTAGATTTTAAATAGGCTGTATACATTTCAATGGGAGCAACAGGACGGTCAAATGTCGCTGATTTTACTACAGAGCAGGACGGATTGTAGGGTAGAAAACATTGTTGGAAAACACGTTTTCAACACAGCAGGTTACCTGGTGTAATGTTGAAGCACCCCCAAAAATTGCCCCTGAGGCACTTCCACATCAGCTTTTCACACTCGAAAGAGAGGTCCATCTTTTATATACAGTTTATGGTCTTAATGCCACTCTGTGATTAGCTGTTTGTGGTTCTGCCATTAACAATGCCTGACTGATCAAAAGTTGTTTCAGTACAACATTTTAAAAACTTCACAGACAGAAACGAACAGAGTCAATCAGTTTTCTTGTAGGGGATTAAAAGCAGTATAAATATACTAATAAAATGTGAGTATATATCACTAAGTTGGTTGAGAAGTGAGCTTAGAGAAGGCAACACAACAGTTGACAGGTGTAGTGATTACTCGAGAAGAATGCAGATGTTAATAACCTGCAGATGTTTGTGACAGTCCCATGGCCAAATGTTCCCGGACCAAAGACCGTCAGATCAGTAAGCATTCAGATTACATTCAAATGAGAAGCATGTATTATTTCATTAACCTTACTCCTACTAGGCTCCTACTGTCTGCAGCTACCGTCTTGTTGAAATATATCTCTTTCATCCCATTCTGACTTCAGAATAGCAAGAAGAAGGATCATTTTCACTCATATTTACCCTCTTATTTCCAGTGGAATATTTGTTTGCTCCTCACCTTGGAGGCGTTTTTTTCTCTGATCATCTTTTTTTGTCTGGGTTAAAAAGCAGAGCACGAGGTTCTCTCCAAGACAAAAAGAAAAGCTCGGTGTGAGTCAGGCACATCATTTATCAGATGGCAGTGTAATGTATCCATTGCATTCCTCTGAAGAGGCAAAACACATCTTTCTGACCTAGAAAGATAATTCAGTATGACAGGAGATCAGCTCTCAGCCTCACATTCCTTTTAATGATGCAAATGTTTCTCAGTAGTGCACAGTATTAATATGTCATATAATACTAACCTACAAAGATGTGCAAAGTCCCATGTTTTTTTTATCCTTGTACCTGCACTACAGAGTATTTTAGATTAGCTTTACATCTGTTTTTCAAAACAGAAAAATACAGTTGACACCAGGGCCGAGGAAAAAAAATGACACACTCAAAAAATAAAAAAGACTTCTTCATGATACAAATCTCATCTTGTCAAGGCTGTGAAACAGAGTGGAACCACATCTGATCTTCCCAGCTCAGGCAGCCATGAACAGATCAGACCTCTGCCATAGAGTGAGAAATCTGATTATGAGACTTGGGCTTGAATGGCTCCAGCTCAGGCTGTGAGCTGAACATATCCAGTAGTATCTGGGTCAAGACTTAAAGAAAATTCAAATACAGAAAGTTTGAATTCTGAAAACTGTGACAATATAAATCCAGAATATTAATAGAAGACCTGCTGTAGAGCTGTACTTGAATTTAATTTATCTTCGACATTAAATATTTCAATTAACCTAAAATTCAGAAACCCATACAGAACCCTCCAGCTTGT